ATGTATTATGTGATTTGGAATTGAGTTTATGTTTTTGCTGTTGATAAGTTTTCTTTCTCTTCTCAGTCTTATCAGGGCAGTGTTCCCATCAGGACCTCGCTCACCGGCGGCGCCGGGAAAGGAGCCGTTCCCCACCCTGCCACTGCCTCCTGTGCATTCCTGAACCCATCCATCTTACCATGAATGTCCAGAATGAGGAGGCTCACCGGGCTGGGAGGCGCCCTTACCCTGACTTCCTGCCATGCCACCCGCCCCGCTATTACCATCCTTGTGACTGCGAAAACCGGTCCCGTCCGCGTACCGCCTTGGCCCCTGCGGGTTATGCTCCCATCGTTTGCTGCCGGGACGTGGCCGTCGGCACCTCCGAGCCCATGTTATATCCGGGCAGCCAGGAACGCCGGAATGACATGGCAGTGGGCACCGAATTCTACCCCCGGACGCAGGTGGGGGAGACTCACTACCGCCTATTAGGGCCCAGCCATGATGCTGAATACACAGGAGGACCCCCGCCACGCTCCCATCGGCCCACCAAAGTTTACATCTACCCGGTGCACCCCCAGACGCCCCCCGGGAGCAGATCGGCTAGCCCGGAGAGGCTCCACCGGCGTCGGGGAGCCACAACCGGCAGCCAGGAAGATCAGCAGCAGGAATTTGAGACCCAAGAGCCGCGTCGCAAGGCCCGGGAGCCGGAGCAGCACGCCAGAGGGGCCCCGCCGCGCTTCCACACTGTTGCCACCAGCGTCCTCCAAAGGGCCGCCCAAACCGAGGCCTCGGGCCCCAAGCAGCAGCATCCTTGGTCCGAGGCACCGGCCGACTCGGATTGGTTCTATCGGCCCCTGTAGATTGCCCCCCTGTCACCCTGGCAGGCCAAAAAATAAAAAAATAAAAAAGAGGGGTCCCCGCGACACGGGTGGCGGGACCATTCCCCCTCCGGCGGTTTCTCTTCCACTGTGGCTGGATCCATGTGGTGCACATGACGCTCCGGACCCCTGCCCTTGGGGTAGACTAATACCGTCCATTCCTCCGGATTTCGTTTATGGGTCTTGCTCTCTCTTTAGTCAGTATCTTTTCTCCTTCTTCATCTGCGTTTGAGGACGGTCTCTTTCTAGGCATGGAGAATACCCGAATTTCCTTGTTTCTCTGTTACGTTTTCATTAATAACGGTCACTTTCTCAGTCTCTTTAGACAAACTGCCTTCTTCAGTCATCAAAAAGACAGCTATCTTTCCCCTCACACCTCCTAGCTCCTTCTTCTCTCCTCCCTTGGTTGTTTCTAACCAATTTAACTGCCTTTCCCTCTCGTGACTGTCTCGTATCATCCCTGTCTCCTCCGCGCAATCATCTTCCTTCTCTCCAGCACATGTCTCTGTCTCTTGCTCTTTCCCTTGTTCACTCCCTATTTCCCATTCTTATCCTACTATTTCCCTTGCTTGTTCTTTCCCTTCTGTTTGCTTTACACTAGAGTCGACGCTTGAGGGGACGGCTCACTCTTTGACTCCTCGATAGTCACTATCTCATAGCGGCCCTGACTGGACTCACCTTTACCTTCATTGTCTAGTTGTTTAATCGTGTCCGACTCTTCGTGTGTTCTTTCCGTTTGCTTTACACTAGAGTCGACGCTTGAGGGGACGGCTCACTCTTTGACTCCTCGATAGCCACTATCTCATAGCAGCCCTGACTGGACTCACATTTGCCTTCGTCGTCTCGTCTAGNNNNTCTCTTCTCGTGAGATGGCCAAAGTATTGGAGCCTCAGCTTCAGGATCCGTCCTTCCAGTGAGCACTCAGGGTTGATCTCCTTCAGAACGGATAGGTTTGTTCTCCTTGCAATCCAGGGGACTCTCAAGAGCCTCCTCCAGCACCACAATTCAAAGGCATCAATTCTTCGGCGGTCTGCTTTCCTTATGGTCCAGCTCAAGGTTTGTCATCGCTTTCCTCCCAAGAAGCAGGCGTCTTTTGCCTTAGGAAACAATAAACGAGGGACTCAACCTGAGTCTTTTCATCTGCCCCCCTCCGTTTCCCCCCCCCCACTGGCGGCTCTCTCCTGCATTTGCATGCAAGCCCTCGGTTGGACTACAGCTCCCATCGCTCCCGGCTGCGTGGGCGGCGAGCCGTGCTGGCTGGGAGAAATGGGGGTTGTCGTCCAAACTACCCCAAGGTTATCAGGACTGGGAAAGTTGGCCTGACTCTGTAAGAGGGTCCCCAGGCCCAGAGGTTACCAACTTTCTGAATGAGGGCTGCTCCTGTGCCGTATTTACTGTTGCCCTAGCCCAGGTCTGAGGGAGGCGACAACGTCTCCTGTCCAAAGTCTGGGGGAAATCGTCATTTCTGACCATCAGGCTCAGAATCCTCTGGCCATCTTGGGTGGGTTGAGTGGGTGGGCAAGGCAGAATAAAACCAGAAAACTTCCCCAGGGCATGAGGTCCCCGAATGAAGATTCGGGAGAGACCGGAGAACGTGGTTTCACATCTAATGGAAGATAGATTTACTAGAGGTTCAAAACACTCTATATCTTTTTCGGATGGACTACGCCCAGAATCCTAAAGGGGCTGGGGATTCTGGGGGCTGTAGTCCTCAACAGCACGGATTCCCAATTCTGAGACTGATGCAGTCCAGTGCCGTAAGACAAGCCGGTGACAAGATGAGGAGATTTTTTTTCAGACTGTAATTTTCAGAATCTCCAAGAGAGGCAGCCAAAAGACCACACAAACAGGTCATGGCGTTCCATGTCCAGTCGCGCCAGCCACGTGACCACGGAAACGGTCTTCCGACAAACGCTGGCTCTACGGCTTGGAGACAGGGATGAGCACCGCGCCTTTATGTATATTATATAAACACAGCGCAAACTGAATTGTTCATAGATCGAACAGTACACTGTGGTAGGAAGGGGGGGGAACAATGAACATCACTATATGATGTAACCTAAAAGTAGGATTCAACCTGTGGAACTGATTGTTATGCGGGTAACGTAAGTCTTAGTTGCATCTTACATATTTCCTCTTTAAAAAGCCAACCTAGTTCAGACTTTTTATTGCACGGTTACCATCTCCTAATTTCAAGCTACTTGTGCTCTGTCCTCATGCTCCACACATTTAGTTTGGATTTGTAACTGCCCTGCCTGGAGGTAGCTCACTTTTTACTGATTGCTATGAACTGGGCCTTCTCCAACATGCATTCGCAGACCATGTTATTCGTTATTCGTTTCACGAACGCTCCAGGAGTCACTTTTCCAGATCATCAAAAGGAGAATGGCACTCGCCCGTCGATGTAGCTTTGGACAGGTTGCCTGGTCCCAGGTTCTCCCCCGCCCCCAAAAAAGGGAAGGACAAACCACTTCTGAGGACTCTCTGCCTTTAAAACCCTGAAAAAGGTCAGAACCGACTTGATAGCATACAATTATTATTCATTGTCAACCATTTCTGGCTTTTCTTTGGGCTGCGATTCTCAGAGTCCTCCATGCACCATCCATCTGGAGGATTCTAGGAATTGTTGGCTGGAGAATTCTGGCTATTTTAACCCAGAAAAAAAGGGAAAATTTCCAAGTTTGGCAGTCAATAAGACTTTCTTATCCATATTTGGTGCTAATAGCCAGAATTCCTCAGTTCCTTTATCTACACACATGCTTTAAAGCGTAGCAAGGTGCTTGCCCTAACTAGAGGTGTGCAAATGTGTTTTTGGACTACAGCTCCCACAATGCCCTAGTAGGTCACCCAAAAAAATCTCGTGGGCACCCCTCTAAAATTTAAACATAAAGCAGAGGACAGCGTCACAGTCCTCAAGCTTCCACAGTGAAGTCAAAGCGATTGGAGCCGGACACCACAAGGGGGAGCTAAAGGCTATCGAGAAAGCAGCCAGACAGTCACAGGGCAGGGAGGTGTACGCTCTCTCTTTCCGATTAGAATACGTCTCTTCTTCTCCAAGGCCCCGAAACCCTAGACTTAAAAATGAATAGAGGGAACTATACATCCGGTTTCGGCAGAAGTATGATTTTTTAAAAAGTTTTTTATTTCCAGGAGAGAAATGAGAACTGATCAAAGGAATCAAGTGAGATGAGTTTGTAGTGGAGGATTTGGGGGTGGTGGGGTTTAAGCAGGTCTATGCCACCCCGGTCCTCATCTTTCTTAAGTCTAAGCATTATTAAGATGTTCAAAATCTTAAGTGTTCAAAAATGAAAATATGAAAATGTTCACCTTAATAATAAAATTATTACTATATACCTCTGTTCATATACAATGCATATACATAGGGGGGAGAGTGCTAAGAATTCTTGGTCATTTAATCTTTTTGAAGCACAATGGAATGTGAATATGCAAAATAATAATAATAATAATAATAATAATAATAAGAAGAAGAAGAAGAAGAAGAAGAAGAAGAAGAAGAAGAAGAAGAAGAAGAAGATTTTTTTAATTGACTGTGGGTGGTATTTTTGAGGCATCAACATCATCTTGGAACAGCAGCGGTGGAAGGCATCCTGTGGTTCAGTCAATCCAGCCCCTCTCGAGGAGGCCCAATGGGGAATCGAACTCCCAACCTAACCTCTCACCTAAACCCCCGAGCTATCTATCTGTCAGTTCAAAGCAGCTCACTTTTCTAGTCACACAGGGTCAGGCTTGGGCGAGCCGACAGAAGTCCAACAGAATAGAAACGGTTGCACGTGTTTCATGCAAAACGTTATGCATTTATTTAAGTGGAGCGGTTTGGTCTTCACCCAAGTCAGATTCAGGGAATCTTTTTTTCCCCTTTCATGGAGGGTTGCATTTCCCCTGGACGGAGTCACTGACGGGGCCCCATGTCTGCCTTTTGGTGGGGAGGGCCACTCCTTTTACTTTCTGTGACCCTTTTTCTCTTGCGCTTCTTGCATAGGCCTGCACAAGGTTCCTGCTAGAAACCTGAACCCATCGATTGCTTTCCATCGCTCCCATCTCTCCATTCATTTCCATTTCCCGCCCCCTCTCCTGTGCCCCTCTTACCTTCATCCTCCCGCCCACAGCATGAAACTGGACAAATAAAGATGCAATTTAGGGAAAATAAATCTTGTGTGTGCATAAAACAGTCTGGTCTATTTATAGATGCACGCATATATAGCATGTAGTAGGGCTTGATTATGTAGAAACCTCACTTAGCAGTATGTGATTTAAAAAACACATCCCTGTGGTTTAGGACAAGAATTTCCCAACATCAAAGTTGGGAAAGTTTTTGTGTCTGCTTGTAGTTAGTTAGTATTAGTTAACTACCCCAGGCTGGCTGTAAGAAATACAAATACAGTGATGCATCGCAAGACGAATGCCTCGCACAACGAAAAACTCGCAAAACAAAAGCATTTTGCGATTTTTTGGTGACTCGCAAGACACATTTTTCTATGGCTGTGCTTCGCAAGACAAAATGTTTGCATTTTTTAAAAAATTAAATTTCAATGCATCCCTATGGAAAACTGTGCTTCGCAAGACAAAATTTTCGCAATACGAAACAACTCGCGGAACAAATTATTTTCATCTTGCAAGGCATCACTGTAAACAGAATGCACTGGGACCTGAAGGAAAGAGAGGTTGCTTTCCGGAAATGGTGGTTCTTTGAGTGGTCACCTGTGAATTAATGCAATTGAGTCTTGCATCTGTGCTGGGCCTCTTTCAGAAACTTAAAAGAACTTTGTAGCATTTAGCAAAATCTACAATTCACCTCTGCTCTACTGTGCAGGCCTAGGTGAACCCAGACAGTTTCACAGCAGTTCATTTTGTCTATCAGCCAAACAATAGGCTCAACTACATGTAGGAATATTTCTGTTTTTGTGTCGGGTTTGAAATCTAATTAAGAATCTCCAACTACACAAAGTACAGCTAAGCACATATTTTTTTTCCACCCAGGAGGTAGGATTTTTAAAAAATACATACATGGGATTGCTTACTTTAAATCAATTCTAGGCACATTTTTAAATTTGTTTTGGCATGTGTGATCGCCTATGGCAGAGTAAATGCTGTCTGTGGGGGTCTATGTGGTTCACTGAGTTTTGGTGCCAAATACAACTGGATTGAACAGCAGGATACCCCGTAGTCCAAATTCTCCCCTTCCCCCATCTGTTTCTAGTTTGGTGCTGTGGCAATCTAGTGCTATGTCACACATATATGCCTCCTGCCTCAAGAAAGGCACAACTCACAATAAAGGGATTCATTGAATCAGCACTGCTCTGGCAAATGTAATCGTGTTAATTTCACTTCCCCTGATCCTCCACAGATGATCAGGGGAAGCACTTAAATGACAGTGGATCAGGCTACAAAGAGTCATTTACTGTTCTGATGGGGGGAGCATACTAAATGGTACATTGCTTCTCTCCCTCCCTCAACCTCAACCGACCCTTTGTAACTTGATCTAGCCTGCACCAAAACAACGCATCTGAATAGGCCCTTAGATGCATGGGAGTTGCATGATTACTCAGAAAAAGGGGACTGTTGTGGAATTATAAAAGGAAAAACATGCCAGAGGCAGGAAGAACTTTAGCGATAGGTTCGTGCAAAGGACAGCATCCCTCCAGATACTAAATCCCTTCCTCTCGTTGATACCCAGTGTTACAAAGCATGCAAGATGTTTTTATCTCAACAGGACCACCACTCTGTACATGTTCACAGACAGTTCCCATCTGAGCACATGTATTTCAAAGCTCGGCCCTCATACAAATCCAACCCTTTTTCCTAGCGAATGGGAATGTACATGGATCAGTCCCCCCCCCAAAAAAAATAAAACACACGCACTTCAGACCCTTTTATTAATATATTTTTATTAAATTATTTTCTTCCTGCAAGACTTATTTAATTTTTTTTTCAATCCCAAAGACACGAAATAAGAAATATCCAGTCAAAAAGGCAAACCAGGAATAAGAGGAGGAAAAGGTGGGGGGTTTCTTCGGATCAAGGCCCGAGCAAAGCACTGGAACGGGAAGGGGGGGCAGGCGTAGAAAACTGTAGGGAAGGGTTAATGTTGTTCCTGTTTTCGTCAGCTATAAAGACATTCTCAGTATACACAGCACACGGGCAAAGGATCAGTCGCTTCCTCATGCAGGATCCAGGGAGGGGCTGAGCGGGAGATTCCTTGTGGAGCACACCCCATAATATACTAGAGGGATCTCCACCATCATCCTGTTCCTATCGATTCTCCTCTCTGGTTCCCAGTCACCCACAAAACGAAAAGATACACGGTACGGGGGTCTCAGAGCCCCTTTCCTTTAAAGCCCTCTTTTTAACCTCTTTTGCCCTTAAATATATGCCTCTCCTTGCCATCTGGAAGGCAGGACTTCCTGTATTGCACTCTGAGCACCCTGGAAAAAAGGCGGGACTTCCTCTTTTGCCCCCCCTGTTCCAGGGTGGCTCCTATTGCACTTCTCCTTTCCAAAGGCACAATTTCTTGTGTTTTTTTTAATTTTTTTTCCCCCATAGGGGGTCGACTCTTTAACCCTCTTGAAGGCAAGTTATCTCCTTTTCCACCATCAGGTACTTCCTTCTTTGGCCCCATTCTCCAAATGCCAAAATGTGTTGCTCACACCATGCCGGTGCTTCGTCCAGTATTTTGGGATCCCTCCCCCACCACGATGGGCATCCTTAAGAAGATGCAGGATGTGGGTAGGAATCCACTACCTTTTGCCTGGACACCCCAATAATGCTACCAAAAGCAGCATTTTCTCGGACGGTCTGGCAGCAGCATCCACACCTTTTTTTTCCCCACACATGGACTGCTTTTATTTTATTTTAATTTGTGTGTGTATGTGTGTGTGTGGCAATCACACGGTCTCCTTTGTGAGATCCCCCCTTCTCCCGAGCAAAAGGAATCTCCCTTTCACCCTCTCGTAATATTTATAGTATTTTTTTTAATTATTCAAACGCTGCGAGAAAAATGTTTATAAAAGCATAAATAAAAAGTTAACTGTTGTTTTTTTTCTCCTTTCTTCTTTTGTTTTGTTTTTTTTTGTTTGAAAAGAAGGTTCTGGTTCCCTCCGGGAAAGGAGGGGGCACAGAAAAGAGAAAGAAAGAGAAGAGTATGAGTTTGGAAAAAAGAGAGAGAGAAAGAGAGAGAGAGAGAGACACAGATAAGACATAAATCTTCCCGTCAAAGGCTCCCCACTCTCAAAAAGGCACCCCTGGTTGGGGCCTGCAACCCTTCTCTCTCCTCCTGCTCCACAGCACCATCAGACTCATAGAAAACAGGGGAGGTAATTCTATAGAAATTTGACATTCTTTTGAAACAGATTGCCTCCTTTCGGATAATTCCGAACTTTGGGGAGCATTTCGGGAGGCAGGAGAGGGAAATAACAGAAATCCTGGAATGGTTAGGCGAGAAAGCTTGGTAGGCTAGCTGTGTTTCTCCCCACCCCATCATCCTCTGGAGGTTCAGAGGGAGAGAAAAACAGGGCTTAAGGGGGGGAGGGGAAGCGATGATGATGATTCATGGCGCAACTTTATGGTGGGCAGAGCGCTCCGCCTTTCCTACCGTCATCCGTGGCCCCCCCAAAGGACGTTTAGAAAAAAATACACCAGGAGAAAACTCTTCCCTATAAACCTCGGTCCAGTCGTGGGATGATTCTTTTCCCAAGCTAAATTTCCAAAAGGCCCACCGGGGGGGGGGTGTTGAATGGTGATTAATAAGAAAGTGGGGATGTCAGTGGAATGAACAGATCAGGAAAGGTGAAGGAGAGAGGGGAAGTCATTGTGGTAGTTTTGGAGAGACAGCAAGAAAAAAAAAACAGAGAAATCTCCAGTAGAAAGAGAGCCCTTCGTATGTAAACAATCTAGAAAGGGTGGTATTTTTTTTTAAGGGTGGGGGACGGTTTGGAGGCTGCAAGGGAGGTGGGTGGGTAAAAGCTATGTGAAAAAAGAGAAAAGGTGGGGACAGGAAGAAAGGCAGGGGGTAATAAAGGGGGAGAAGAGAGTCTGTTACCAAACCATCCCCGCTGGGGAGAGAGGGCAGGATGAGGAAGAAATAGGGTCAGAAGTGAGGGCCTCCTGCCCCCACCCGTCTCAGGTGAGGAGAAGGGAGAACAGGTACGCCAGACTCACATCCACCAACAGAACGGCAGCAACAACCAAGGGGTGGGCTCCCTGCAAGAGAGAGGAAAAAAGAAGAGGAAAAATATTAACGAAAAGAAACTGGCATGATTGGAGTAAAGAAATGGAACCAAAAGATTTTACCCCAAACCAGACCAGATCGGTGCATTCTACCTGTCTCGTGCTTATACCTGCCATCACTTATAGGCTGTGCTGGCTGGGGTGTGTGTAGATGGGATATGTAGTCCCCCCACATCTTCAGGGTGCCAGGAAGGGGAAGTGAGGTGAGCCCAAAACAAGTTTTTGTTTTTTTAAAAAAACACCAAATCTTTCCTCTGCCATTTTCCCTTTCGTGGTGCCGTGAGCTGGGGAGTATCATCAACCTCTCTCTCGCACACACACACCCCGGCTGCATTCCGGGAAAAGGGGTTAGAGGCCCCCTTCCTCTCCCAGAACGTTGCACTCTGTTCTCTCCAAGGGTGTGGTTCACACCATCCATTCTTGGCAAAGAAGTGTCCCATCTCGCCGTTAAAAAAAAACGGGAGGAGGGCTGGTCTGCCCATGCGTGGCGTGCCTGTAGAGGGTGAATTGCACAAGCACATATAATAAAGCAGGATCCCTACACCTCTTTTCTTAAATGTTTTTTTTTTTCCTGCAAGCCACCGTTTCGCATTTCAAGAGCTCGTGAAAGCTCTGGATTTTTCTCAGCACAATCCGTTGGCTATTTGACTCTGCACGCCAAACGGGTTGGCTTTTGCCAGCAAGACAGAGGAGATCACGTTCGAGCCGGTTTATCCCCTAGGTGCCCGGCATCCATTATCTAATTTCTCTATTCCCGTCCCTCTGTCTCAGCCCTCCAAAAGCGGAGAAGGCCCCGGGGACGTGGCTTTCAGACAGCCCTCTCGCTGTTCCAACCAGGGACCTTTGGATTATTTATGACCTGCAGTCCTGCCTGCCAGCGTTCCCCACTGCGGCGCTCTTCCAGTGGGCAGGGCGCATGGATGCTGCTGCAGTGGGGAAGGAGGGACCAGATGGAAGAGGCGGCTGCTGTTGCCGCTGCTGCTGAGCGAGGGATGCTGGTTGCTATGAAACGGGAGGAGGAATGCCAGCCAATCCCCAACGGAGGCTGGTTGTCAAGGCTCCTCCTCCCTCCTCTCTTTTCCACGGTCGCCTCCAGTTTCAGAGAAGGGAAGGGTACCAGCCACGAAGCTCGAGGAACAGAGAAAACAAGAGGAGAGAGAACACAGTGTTTGGAAACCCCAAATTCAACCTCTCTAAGGAAATTCAAAATTTCAGGTTGAGACTTCAGGTCTTGGGGAGTCAGGGAGGTAGCAACGAGGTTTCTCAAGTTATATTCCAGGAAAGAACGAGGAACCGATTCAATCCTCCCCACGCCCTCTCCTCCCACCCCGTTTGGGGAGCTTCGAGATATTTTGGACAACTTCCACCACCATCCCCAGTGGGTATGCTGGATGGGGATGATAGAGGTTGTTGTCCGATATACCTAGAAGAGCTCCTGGCTTTAAAGGGGGCTGTGCCACGGGACCTTTTTATTCCCAATACTGGTGGCCCGTGGGATTAGCGCTGCCCTAGATTAAAATGTGGGTGGAGTGGGGTAGGGGGGGGTCTTTGAAGGAAGGCTTCTAGTGAGTGGATGCGAAAGGGAGCCTAGCCGCCTTCTGGAGAAGGGCAACGTTTTCCCTGTATTTACAAACCATCTCCGACTCTCTTGCAGGAGCCGCTGTGCGAACGCTCGGCAGCCCCTGCCTTAGAAATGAAAAAGCCGAGGAATTGAGTTCCACTGCCCCAGTTTTCTGTTTGAATTGGCTATCCAGATCAGGGACGTTTCCTGCAATAACATCGGAGAATCCCAGGGCGATTTAGGAAGGAGGACAGTCTGTGTGCACAGCCGCAGGGAGATGGAAAGCTAAACTCCCAAGGCGCCAGATGGCCTACAACTCCCATCAGCCACAGCGGTTACTGCAAACATCAAGGGTGGCAAGCCGTTTTTCTACCCTGGCTCTGTCGTGTTTGTGTTACGTGCTGTCAAGTCGCCTCCACGTTATGGCGACCCTAGTAAGAGTTTTCAAGGTATCTAAAATATTCACGGAGTTGTTTGGCTGTCTCTTTAAGCAACCGCACACGGGCAGAAATCCAACCAGTTCAGTTTTTCCACACTGTTCAGCATATCGTTCATCGCTGGCTGAAGCCTGCCAGTTGCGCCCGCAGCTTTCTGCTCATAAAAAATAGAAATCCTTCCTGAAAACCATTAACAGCAATGGTTCGGCACAATTGAGTCTCCTTACAGTGTTAGCAAACAGAACTATTGTCTCTTGAACAACCCAAGCATCTCTCTCCGGGGGCTGACTAGGCCTCACTCCCTCGAGGACAGCACTCCTGCCCTAAACACATTAAATCTGACTTCAAGAGTGAGGAAGGAATATATTTCAGTCCTGGGGCAGGGGGGGAGGATTCCACTTTAGTGATTTTCTCCAGAATTGCTATCCAGTAGCAGGCGGGAGCAGAGGCAAAATGGCCGGGGGAGCAAAAAATATCGGCATATTGTTGTTTACATCCCTTATGGCTCAGAAGTAAGCCTTCGTATGAAGACCTAGTGCTGCATAGTAGAGAGAATGCTGAACTAGGACTCACGAGACCCGAGTTCAAATCCTCACTTGCCCATGGAAATTCACTGGGAGTATCTGGCAATGATAAAACCACTCCCTAAGCATCTCGCATGCCTCCAAAACCCACTTAGGGTCACCACAATTTGGAAATCAAGTGACAGCTCATAACGACAAGCCTTTACAGAAGCACCTTAAGCTTTCAGAA